TTTCTTTTTCCAAGAACTGAAGTTAAAAGAATTGTGTTTTCATTGTTTTCGTTTACTGTTGATGTAGGCTGATGAGGACTTTGGTATACTACTGATGTAGAATGATGAGCACTTTCACTTACTGCTAATGCAGACTGAGGAAGTTTTTGCCTCAATACTGATGTAGACTGATAAGTACATTCATTTACTGCTGATGTAGACCGATGAGGACTTTCGCTTACTACTGATGTAGACTGATGATAACTTTGCTTACTACTTATAGACAGATGAGGACTTTCACTTACTATTGATGTAGACTGATGAGGACTTTCACTTACTATTGATGTACATTGTTGACTATAGTTTTGCACACTTGTTTCTTTATGTTTCTCAAATAACTTTACAATAGTTTTTAATTGAATTTCTTTTTAAAATAGTATTTTCTATTATTTGAAGGCATTTTGTTGCCACTTTTATTTTATTGACTTGAATCTAAATTACTAATAGAACGTCAAACTCATTCAAGAATATTAAGGTCTTAGAAGCAAAACGTTTTTCAATAGAATTTTTTCAAATAGAATGTTAAAAATTAAAAAGTTTTCGTTGTTAAAAAAGTTTTTGTTGCTTTAGACAAATAGAACGTCAATGTCTTTTGAGTGAATTTTTTGTAATCGAATAGAATTTCTATGGAATAAAAAGTTATTGATAAGAAATTTCACTGCTTCATGGTATTTTAGAATTAAATTCAATAAACAACTAACGCCGGGGAAGATTTGTTGATCGCGCAAGTAAATATTTAGCGATAAATTTAGCTAAAGTGGTAACTTTAGTATGTGCAAATTAATAAAAATTGATTTTTGTATTTGTAAATTTTGTTTTACTAAACTAAACTTCTTTTATTTGTTTATTAAAAATTTTGATTTGTAAATTTAAAAAAAATTGGTAAAAATTCCAAATCTTGAAAACATTTATAAGCACAAATGATTTGTTAACTTAATATTAAAATGCTTACACTAAAATGCGTCACAAGCAAATATAGCTTACTTAATAAATAACTTTTTTTATCTTTTTTTAAAAGTAATTTCGAAATGTAAATTTTAAAAATGTAAAATTTTAAAAGAAATTTCGAAATGACACTATGCTAATTTCTTTGTTACTTTTCCAACTAAAGATAAACAGCATGTGTTATTTTAAAATTATTTATTGTAAACAAAAAGTTTGAATAAAAAAAGCGAATAAAAAAGCTACGTTTTAAGCAAAAAGAAAACAAGACGTCAGTTAAAAAATAAAGTTTTAACTTTATTTTTGAATGAATGACTTGCAACGCTATTTTTTATTTTATAAAGAAAGTAATTGTTCTCAATGGACTAAATCATTTACTTCGTTTCGTGTACTTTCTTATTTTCTTCGTTTCGTAGTATTTCTACAAGTCTTGCATAACTCTCTAAATCTAAGCTTATTAATAACAATTTGGGAAATTTAAAAAAATTGGGAATTCCGCGTTATACGCGGTGCCATCAGGCTGGCTAACACCCTGTTAGTAGAATTAGTAATACAGATAGTAAAATTAATAAAAATATTTTCATCATACCAGAAAATACATAATTAAATGATAAGTTTTGTAAAAGATGAAAACAAGAAAACGGAATATTGAACTCTATAAAAAAAAGTTCCAGGATTTCCAGGATTTTTTGTAAAAAGGGGTGTTTTTCTTTTTTTGAAAGTTTCAAAATTATTTCTTGACTTAATTAAATTATTGACTACTTCTTGATCTTTTTCTTTCGATATACGTATATCAAAACTATTTTCCTATTCTCGGCATTTAGTAAATAAAATAATTTTGAAACTTTCAAATTCGTTTTGAAATGCTGAATGTTTGGGCTGCATTAAAAAGTAAATTCGAAGGTTTGATGCATTTGTTTCGTAAGAATTTAATAGTCCTGAATTTCCATTGAGATTTTGTGTTTTTCTTCTTTTTTTGCCATAATAAACATTAAATTATTTTCTTTTATATTGCTTTTTATTGTCTCATTTGTTTATTATTATTCACTATGTGATTGTTTGTTGGTAATGTATTTGAATTTAAAAAATTCCTACCCTAAACATTTATTCATTAACCCTTTAATTTTTATTTTTAAAGGGATCCCTAAGTGCTCCTAACATATGATCTCATATGAAAGAGCATAAAAAAAAAATATGTAAGTTTTTTTTCTTTTTCACTAAATTGTAATAATAAATGCATGCTAACAAAAAGCAATTGCCGAAATCACTAAAAAACAACTCCATTTTGATTTTATTTTTTCACCATTGAAACTCGATTGTTAGTCGTGAAAAATCACGTTAGTACGTCACAACAACTTTAGAATATCTACTTCGATTTTCAAGTAAAAAAAAGTTGTGATTAAATAGTTAAGTTTTAATCAAGTTTTTTTAATTAGTTTTGCAAAAACAGTATAATGAAAGACGTCGTTAAAAAAAAGTTATAAGTAATAGTTTTAAATAGTTTAGAACTTATAAAAAAGTCTTACAGAACTCGTATTAAGCGTATCGCGATCGCGATTGCTACACACACTTTTGTGATTAATTTTTTCTTAAAAAAAATCTTTTCGCAACTTATTTTTTTTTTTTGGTTGATTAATTACTTTTTTTCTAGCTCAGCATTTTTTTTAGCAATTCTTAAAAGTAATGTTTTTATCATAAAGAACGTCACACAAAATTTATTATTCTGAATAGATAGATGAATAGATGATTTGCTCTTTCGCGCGGAGATTTTCTTTCAACGTAAAACATTTTTCAATTTAAATTACTTTAAATCTCTGCGTGGAAAATTTTTACAAGGTCGTCAAAGCGAAAAGTTGAAAAGTTGGTTTTTATCTTTGTTTATCAAAACTTCATGTTTAAAATAAGGCTTACAAACGTTAGAGCAAAAAAATTACTGACTTTTATTTGCATTTTTATACTGTTTGAAAAAAAAAACTAATAAAAAAGAATTAATATATAATTATTAATTAATATATTATTAGTTAATTCTTTTTTATTAGTTTTTTTTTCAAACAGTATAAATATGCTAATAAAAACCAGCAATTTTTTTACTTTAATGTTTTTAAGCCTTATTTTAAACATGAAGTATAATTCGATTTATTAAACCAAATTTTTTTGTTTTATCTTTTATTGGAAAACTTGAAATAGAAAAATTGAATAAAAACATCAACCATTTAAATGAAAAACTTAATTATATTTAAACTTTTATTAGTCCTTTATTCAAGAAACAATAAATTATAAAAAACGTGGTATCTAAGTTTTTGACGATGTTTTTTGATTTATTGACGATAATTTTTTCCCCCCACTACCGCACATCGGCGCGAGCTATAAGAGAGGGGGGGGAGGAGGAGAGAGCAAAAAAAAAAAAAAAATTTTGCATTAATTCGAGCCTTGTCTTAGATTAATTTCTAATAAAATGTCTATTCAACCTTATCAATTTGAACCAAAAAAATATAGCAATTTAACATAAATGTTAATTTAACTAAAACATTTTACAATCATTTTTTTTATCAAGCAAAAATGAGAGTAACCGTCACTTTTGAAACCATAAAAACTACTGAAATAAATTTATTTTTTTACTAAGGCAATATTTTAAATAAACTTTCATATGTTTAAGTCAATATTCATTTGTTTTTAACTGACTAAAAAGAGTTTAAAATTTGACTTCTATTCATTTTTAGCCGTGGAATTGTCCTTATAACACAAATATATAAATTAATATTATAAAAAAAATTTTAATATACAAATATATTTTCACAAAATGCTACAAAACTTATTCTTGTAAGTAATTATGTGTTAGTTGAAAAAAAACGACTTTACTTTTAAATTTAATTACCAACTAATAAGTTTGCAATAATGACATTTTGTCTACTTTGTTTAATTTGACGTACTAACGTTAGTTTTTTGAGGCAATAGAGTCAATAAACTTTGGACAAGACGCATTTTTTTTAATCGAAGAAAAGCGTTTTTTTGAAAATTAAATTTGTTAGTGTGTGTTTATTATTGCGTTTTAGAAAAAATAATATACATCAAACATTTTTTTTTTTTATGCTCTTTCATATGAGATCATATCTTTATAGCACTTAGGGATCCCTTTAAATTAAAAATTCAATAGATTTACAATAATATCTATTATCAATATCTAATGCTAACCATAAATTTGGAATAAAAAATACAATTAAATAAACACAAATACAAAGTCTCACAATTGGTAAAACTTTTACCAATTGTGATATTATATTGGTAATATTGGTAAAAGGAATGGTCATCATGAAAAGTATAATATGTTATAATATATTTAAAAGAGCAACAAAATTGGTACCTGTGTTATTTATCATAAATTGAACATTGATCATTATTACAAATTAACTTATACATATAACGTACAAACTTGACATATAAGAAGAATAAGAGATATTGTACAAATTTGTGACCCTGGTACCATGGTTCAAATGGTACAATGGTTTGAGGAAAAAAAGCATTAACAATTGTGTTTGTTAAATTCTTCTGGTCATTCTTTTATTTATTAGTATATTAGCCATAATTTTATATATTAGTATATTAGCCATAATTTTAAATCAAATTTTAGTCAAACAAACATCAAAAACAAATGCATATATTTTGTGTGTTCAAATTGAAATATAATTTTGCAAGTAGCTTAAACATATAAGATAATAATGATATTTAACAAAGCAACATTAAATCAGCAGCCCTCAGAATTAGGAAAAATGAAGTCAGCACAAATTTGCTGACCTTAATCTTTTAGAAGTCAGCATCAGGTTGGCAAAAAAAATTTGATACAAAGGTTTTACCATTAAAAATAGAAACAAAGTTGGCAAATTTTTGCCGACCTCAAATACTTCTAGATCAGCACTTAGGTTGGCAAGGTTACTTAGGTTGGCATTGCCAAATGATCCTAATTTGGAGGGCTAAATCAATAATTTAACAATAATTTTTTTAACTTTATAAAAATAAAATACCAATAATCTCTCATGAGTTTCTAAGAGTTCAGGAATAGACCCAAATATTGTTTTGATTTCTTCTGGAGCAAGCAATGAACCTCCTCTTTGATTTGCTGAATCTTCTAATGGCTTTTTAAATATCTAAAAAATTATTAATTACTAGTATAGCATATTATTCTAAAAATGGAAGTATAATACATTCTTTTTTAAAAAAAAGTTACAAATTAAAATCTTTAAAAGATAATAGAATGATAAAAACAGAGTTAAATTCATTTTTTATATATAAAATCAAACAAGATATATTTTAAAACTCTTTTAAATTTTTTTGTTGATCAGTTAAAAAAACCCTTTTTATAATAGTGTTTTGATGTGTTTAGATGAATTTAATTTATCAATGATTCTTCATGATTTTGTTATTAGTTACAAAACAACTGAAAAATGTTTTAACTAATATCATTGTTTAAATGTTAAAGAGATTCCTAACTATAAAAGTTTCTTTCTTTTATTTGAAAAGCATTAAAAAAAAAATTGGTTTGTGTAATTCTACAAGTGTAATTCTACAACAAGTTGTAAAGTTAGTGATTCCACGGCGCTACAAAAAACATTTGACATTTGACAAAAAACACGGAAATTTCATAAACTTTACTCTCTTATATTTTTATCTTGGCTTAAGCAAGTACCTTAGGATTTTTTGCATCAGTTAGTGTTTCTCAATGTCTTTCCAGCCATATATAGAAAGCACTATGTTTCATATGGCTTCATTTAAATATTATAAATATTTTGAGACTACTTTTGCTAAAAGAAGTTGCAGCTGACCCGTTTTTTCAAAAGTAGCTTTTGAAGGTAAGATTTCGTAAGCACTAAAACACATCCAATTTGCATGAAAATTTCCATATAGATTAAAAAAAGGATGAGGAATCGAATAGAAAGGGGAACCTTCTTCAAATTTATACAAATATTTTTAGTTCTCAACGTTTAAAAACTTTAAGGTCGATTTAGTTAAAAAAAAAACTTTTTTAAAACATTTTGGTCCCTGACCAAAATGCAAGTTTAGCCTTTCCTCTCTCTAAATCAAGTATTTATGTTTTCTTGAAGATTTGATGCTTAGGAATTTTGTTTTAAAATTATGTATGCATTATATGTATTTTTTGTTCACGTATTTAATGACGTTTTTTTTTTTTACTTTTTGCGTTTGTTTACTAAATTATAAATAAATTTTTGCGTTATCTTTATGAAACTTGATGTTTTTTGTTGTTTTTTTTCACTTAATTAAAAACTTAAATAGTAGCTAAATAAGACGGTTTGTTTTATGAAAATAATATATAACTGCTTGAAATGGTATACAAATCTTTGTTCTTTCCATCATTGATGAAAGAACAAAATCTTTATACCATTTAATAATCCTTATTAAGAATTATTTCTTATTCACACCCTTAAATTATTTCTTATTCGCATCCTTAAAATAACGCTTAATGAGGATGTGAATAAGAAACAATCCTTATTAAGGCTTAATAAACCTTATTAAGCCTTAATAAGAGTTATTTCTTATTCACATCCTTATTAAGCGTTGTTTTAAGGATGTGAATAATAATTTAAGGGATATATAATAAGAAATAGTTCTTATTATAAAGATTATTTCTTATTCACACCCTTATTAAGATTTAATTTGGTTTAATTGGTTAATCTTACAATCCTTTCTCTTACATCTCTTTTGTTGACATTTCTGAAAATTATATTTTGGCAAGACTGCTTGATATTTAATTTTATATTAATTACATTTTCTATTAATTTGTCTATTTTGTAAATAAAGGTGATTAATTCAGGAAATTTAAGCAGATTAATTGAATCACCAGATAATAAAGTTAGTTGGTGATCTTAATTGGAAACTGGGAGATTCTATTCATAACTTGAGTTTCAAGAAGACAATCATCAGAATGACTTGATAAAGACTTGTCTACAATAGAAGTTTAAATAACAGAGCTTGAAAAAACATCATTAACAGTTTTCAAGTTTAAATCAGAAAATAAACTTTTAGAAGCAGAAATTTCTTCTTGAAGAAATTCTCTAGAATTTGTTCCAGAAGATATTTGGGTTGAAGTTGGGATAGAACCATTAACAGAAGGTAGCAAATCATCAACATTGTTAAATAATGCAAGATTGACTTTTTATTTCAACTATCTATATTTCCAACAAGGCTGGAAGCAACCACTTTTAGAGTTGGTAATTACTGGAAGACCCAAGATGAAAATTATAAAGCAAAGTAACAATTAACAGACAACTAAAAAGATTGCAAATTATATGAATCAGGAAAACAAGATGAATGGAGAGTATTCTTAAAAACTGATGTTTTAAGAAAAAAACTAGACAAATAAGATTTTTTTAGAGCACCTTGGAGCAATAAAATACTATATTATTGTATACAAACACTAAGTTAGCAATGTTTTGTATAAGGTTTCCATGAGAGGTCAGTACAAAAAGAAAATCAAGATGATGTAAAGTGAAGACACAGTAAAAATGTTGCCATTCATCAATATAGGAATAAAATTGCCATTCATTAATATAGGAATAAAATTGCCATTCATCAATATAGGAATAAAATTGCCATTCATCAATATAGGAATATCAACAAGATTGCGAAGACTTTTTAAAGACTTCGCCAGATACACTATGTCATCTAGAGCAATAAAATGTTTCTCTATGTAATTATAATTTCAAACCTTTCTGTAATGACAGTTAACAGGTCAGCTACGAATCGAGACGATTCAAATCATAGACAATATAAAATATAACAATCATAGATTCAAATCATAGACAATATAACATATAACAATCATATAGAAATAGACAAATATAACATATAACATAAGAAAAATATGAATAGAGGCGATTCATGATTTAGAGCCACCTGTGAGCTTTTCAGGATGATCATTAATGTTGCTTTTCACCTGTGAGCTTTTTAAGATGATTATGATTAATATTGGTTAAAAACAGTAAAGGGCTGAGGATAGAAGTTAACATTGTTAGCTAAGTATTGATACCACTGTGAATTTGCAGTGTTTAGCGCCACAGGGTCTGTATGTTTTGTGATTGTGATGTTATTGTTGTGATGTTTTGTATTGATAGACAACTTGGCTTACCTTCCCCTGATGTCTATCGTTAAAAATGATTATTAGGTTGTTTCATTACTGAAACTTGCTACTTCTTTTCACTAAAAGAGATAAGTTGTATAATAGCAATATTTTTTGTTTTAGTGTTGTTTTTTTATCTTAGGTGTTGTCAATAGTTCACATAAACATTCTTAAAGAGTAAATTTCTTATTTTATATTTATTTGGTTTTAATTGTTAATTTTTAAAACAAATTAACAAATATATTTTTAAAATTATTGTGTAGCTGTGTTTTTAATTATAATTTTATTACACTTTTAGGTAGAGTTTCTGCTGTTACACCTGCTATTGCTAATGTACAAAAAATTTTAGGAAGTTCAATTTCTGTAAGTTATTTTCATTTAAATTTAAATAATAACTTTATTAATGAATCTTCTATCTGTTAAATAAGTAATTCTAAATGTTTCAGATAGATTTCAATGCCCTTACGCAGTAATTTACTAATTGATCTGTAAATTTGATTCCAAATTTTATTCTCCAAAAATAAGAAAATAAAATTCAAGATTTTTAAAAAAAAATTTTGGAATTTTATTTTCTTATAGTTGGTGGGTCACTGTGGAAAATTTCAATTCAAATGTATTAACGGTTCAAAAAATATTCAAAAGTCAATAATACTCTCATTTTCGGTGCCATAACACAGCCATACTTAAGCCCTATACCTTTTGTCAAAAAATCATCAATTTTTTCATTACAAAAAGTTCAATAGCTTTTGATCCGCTTAACTTTAAAGGCGGAATGACTCCTCATTTTTCAAGTCAAGCCAAGCTTTATACAATGACATTTGAATATTTGAATTATAAAAAAATCGTCTGGAATGGCTAGTATACAAGTCTTCATACACTCCAAATTTTTTTGGAAAATAGGCTTTCCTTCAATCATATTTAAAAATCTGGCTTGTCCAAAACCAGATTAACTTCACAGTAAACTAAAACTTGGCATGTTGTATGACACCCAAAAAAAAACTTGTATCATATGTAAAAAAATTTGAATGTAAAGTCTTTAAGTCAAGTAAATAAATTATTGAAACGCTATTATATCATTAAATACTTAATACAAGATTTATTTTAAACATATAATACAAGATTAAATGCGCAAAGGATATTTTAAAAAATATATGATGAAAAACATTATAAATGATGAAAATAGTGACTGAGTAAAAATTCAAGCTGATACTTGTTTACAGGTTAGAACTGAGTATTTTTATAGTGATACATTAGGAATATCCAAAATTTATAAGCTCCACTCTTACCCACAATTACTTAATAACTAGAGCTGATTCCCATAAAAAATAATGCATGTCTATTATAGAATGATACCAATAAAAGACTTAACCACCTATATCTTTGATACACAATTTTGAAAGAGTTAAAAGCAATATGTTAAAATTTCTTTAATTTGTTATTTTTAATAACTTAAAGATAAGAATGTGTTTATAGTTTGATGTTAGTTGGTAAAATGCCGTCATTTTTCTATAAAAATATTGAAACAAAGTTAAAAAAATTGTACTTTTATCTTACCTCAACAATTGTCTTTAAAACATAGACATAATTTTTTTCTGTCTGTTGAAGTTCCACACACCTTTGATAACGTGCTGATGTTGGCTGGCTTGTTTTGTCTAAAGTCTTTATTTCAGGAGAATCAATCTGAGATCGGTAAAAAGGTGAACTTAGAGATGATTCAAAAGTTATTGAGGACATTGAAGATAGTCTACCATCTTTACTGCGTCTTTTATTAGCACCATATGGAGAATTAGGTGACAATAAATCACTGATGTCTGATGCATTTAAATATTTTCTTTTTTTAAATCTTTGACTTGTACCTAGAGGAGTTCCTTCTTCCTTAAAAAAAACAATCAGACAAATTTTCATTAACAAATCATTAATTAATTACATGTATAATATCAGATCACTACATTAAAAAGTTTATATCTATTTAAATAGTTTTTTACACTTACTTGTTACTTATATTACTACTACCTTTCTACACTTACTTGAGACATTTTATTACATGTATTTGTTACACCAAAATATTACACATTGTTAGATATACTTGTTACACTAACTTGTAACAAGTATATCTAACACCTTGTTACTTTATACTTTATTAAATATTTGTTTTAAATATTTAAAAATAGTATATATAAAGTGATATGTGAACCAAGAGTCATAATAAATTATTCACTATTAAAACTTTATATCTTTTTAAAATAAACTTTACAAAGTATTTTGAAATTTACATGTGCTGCTAACTGTAGTGAAATACTGCATTATTAAACAACACCATCACAATTATATGAAATTTGCTTTTTTTTTTATGGAAATAAATTTTTCTCTAAAGAAGAACTGCAATAAACCATATACATTAAATTAAAAACAAAGAATTGCATTAAACCATGTAAATAAAATATGTCTGTAATAAAAAACATAAATCTTTTAATAGCTAAAATTTTCAAAAACTTTCAAAACATCTTAAAACTATAAATGCATAAAAAAGAAATATAAAAAACATTGGAAATAATAATCTTAAACCAGAATCATAAAAATTAAAATATAAATACTTAAAATTTTGAAGCATAGTTAAATTTCCTATTTACATTCTTCTCACTCATGTTTTAAAATATGTGATCAGGTTTCTAATTTTTATTAAAGAAAACTTTGAAGATTTATGGCAATCATTAAAAAGTACTAATGCAATTATTAAAAAAGTTAATGGTAAACCAGCAGCAGTTGTCACTTCTCTCCATTAAACTTAATAGAGCTTTTGTCTTGAAACTTCATTAGAATATTTTTGAGTAATTAATGACAAAAACTTTATTCAAATTTGTTTAAATAAAAATAATACTAAAATAAAACATTTATGTTTAAAAAATTATATTTTTAAAGAACTTTTTTTCTAATGTAGTTAAAAAAAATTTGTTGACAAATGCTCCGTTAAGCAGAGAGATGAGAATACAGCTCCAGATCTTTTTATTACTTTTATCCCAAAATACTGCAAAATAGCTGAAAACTTATATTCGGGTCGAACTGCAAATGATAAGTTTCAAAAGACCTGACATGGTTACTTGAGTAACAACTGCCTCAATGATATTTTAAAAAACAGTTTGTAGAGTTTAACTTGTGTTTTAAAAGGTTTCCTACATTTTCATATTTTGATGTCCACTTTGCAAACAACAATAAACTTAAAACAGCATAGGATGTTAACAATTTGATATCTGCAGAAATTCTAGATCTGATTGTTAATCGTGCACTTTATGATGTTATTAAAACATGCAAAATTTATGATCTATGTGGCACACTGAATCCCTGCATGAAAGATTGAGTATGCAGTAAAAATTATCTTAAAGAGTTTAATGCCAACACAGTAGCAGTTCATAACAGTTATCCACACTATAGATGTCATGATAATGGCTTGGTTATCTATGTAAAAAGCAAAAATGTAGATTACCGTTGGATGGTACCTTACAATCCTTAAACCAAAGAAATACCAAGCCCTCATTAATGTTAAAGCATGCATGTCTGTAAAAGCTATTTGTAAAAATATATAAGGGTCACGACTGCATAAATATTTTGAAAAATTAACAAAACAATCATGAAATAAACACCATAATAACCTATTGTTATAATAGTGCACATGAAGCATTGTGGTGAATATTCAACTATCTCATAAGTCATATGTCACACATTATCCTCCTTAAAGTTCTTCTTGTGAGATTCAGATAGTGCACAAGAAGGGGCAGAACAAGTGACTTTAGATCATGCGGCTTAATGTAATACACATCTTACAACATGGTTTAAGTTGAATTCTAAAAATGTAGGAGCACATTGCTATTCAAATGTAGACATTTCCTAACACTTTTTATTTGATGATAAACATTGTAAATGGAAGGTTAGAGAAAGGGACCTTTTGTAAATCGATCCTTTAAATATTTAGAATAAATACAATGATTTTATGATGGAGGCTTTTATTCACCACTAAGTTCAACTTAGCTGAACAAGCCACTCTTTGTTAAGTTAAAAAGATCATTAATCAAATTGGTATAACAATGATTGTTTATAAACTGCCTGCTGTTGATGAATTTATAGATTTTAATCTACTCTAATGCTACAGCTACTTGGACTGACAGAGCAGTAGCTTTTCTTACAAATGAATCTACAAGGCATGACTTATTCAAACTTTCTGTCCCAAAATTAAATAATAGCACATGTAATGAAACTACTAACTTAATACATTAAAGCAAATGTTTATGCTTGATGAGACAATCGATAAGTTGCTAAAAGATGTTGGCAATAACAACTTTCCATTTGGTGGAAAAGTTATTTATTTAGGCAGCAACTTTAAGCTAATACTACCTATTGTGAAGTGAAGGAAAAAGAAACTACCTGAAGTTGTAGAAGTACGTATAATGCTACAAAACCTGTCAAAGAGAAAGATCCTTTTAAAGGAAGTATTGAAATACCGTATCATCGGATTATAAGAGAAAACAACTCAAAAACAGTTACACAAAACGTGTTCAAATTTTTTTTTTTCATAATAAGACATCTTTGTTGGGAAGATTCATGTTTATGTAATCAATTAGTTTAAACTTTACACTTTTGAGAAAAAAAATTTCTTGAAAATAAAAAAACATTTCTTGAAAACTAACAAACAGGGGGGTCAAACTCCCATTTATTATTAGAATTGACAATAATACAATAACTTTATTGATAAAATTATAAATGCATTTATTGAATAAATAATGATTACTTATTAAACATGGAAATGCTTAAAATTATAAGGTTTTGATTATATATTATATATATATACCGTCACAATGTGATACATGGATTCTTCAGCACATGCATCCAATTGAATACTTGCCCAAAACCACTGAAAAAATAATTTATAAGTTATCAAAAAAAAAAGATAAAAATCAACTTTGTTTAGTTAAAAAACTTATGTTTAGTTAAAAAATTTCTTTTTTTAGTTAAATCTAAAACAATAACTTTTATATAAAATGATTATTAATTTTGAAACTTAATATATAATTTAACTTAATATATATATTCGCTTAATTTGAGACCCAACATACTTTTAAGGTTCTATAAATTATTGGCTTTGAGAGTACAGAAGGTAAAAAATAATTCTTTTGATATCAAATTATGTCACTTTTAATTACTATGACTTTTACCCAACATATCCATGTTGCCTTGAAGCCAAAACCATCAAATTAATTGTGAATGCTTAAAAATCTTCAATCTGATCTCTTTTTAACTTGACAATTTTAACAGAAAACAAAGTTGTTTACTAATAATAGTTCTTGCAATACTGTTGATATTCCTAAATTGATAAGCAGCAACACTTTTACTGAGTCCCTTTTACTTTACAACTTCAAAAAGTAAGAGAGTCATAATCAGATCAATTGTATGAGAGGTGGAATGAGGTGGAATCAATTGTATGAGAGGTGGAATGAGGTGGAATCAATTGTATGAGAGGTGGAATGAGGTGGAATCAATTGTATGAGAGGTGGAATGTTACTTTATTAATGATATTGTTAATGAAACCTTGTTAAAGCATTTATAAACATTGTTAATGATGTTAAGTTTATAGGACAGGTTAAAGAAGTTTATCATACAGGATAAACTAGTTGTTATTGCTGAGCCTTTTCAGAACAATGGTAATAATAGACACAATCTTGAGGTATTACATACAACTAAAGAAATTAATAAACAGGGATTAATATTTTTTTTCTTTTTTGCCAAATTTATATATCAAAATTTGAAAAAATATTTTTCATGGAAACACATATATTTATTTGAAAAAATATATATATTAAATATATATTTTTTTATAGTTATTAAGGTGCTCCCAGAAGTTACGCAAGTTAAGTTCTTACAGTCTTATCTTATATACCTTTATCTTAATTACGTTAAGTTAAGTTCTTACAGCCTTATCACAGAGCAAAAGAGCAATTAACTAGGAAGCCTCCTTAATATCGTTTATTGGGCTAGTGCTTGGGTCGAACCTCAGACCTTTTAGACTCTAAGTCAGAACTCCAATCACTGGACCACACTGCAACATTTTTATTTATTATTCAACTTTATTTCTAATAAAAAATCATTAAAACTTGAAACTGCTCTTAAATTCAAACTGATAATTGAATTGTCATATTATAAGAACTGAAAAAAAGATTTTCTATAAGTCCTATTTAAAGTATAATATTTAAAGAATAATATTATTTACTTAAGTTTTCATAGCATAATATATTAAAATGCTATAAAAACTTAAGTAAAATGCTATAAAATATTTTATTGCATTTAAAATATTAAAAGTATTTAAAGAATAATATTACTTATTTAAGCTATAAAATATAATATTATTTACTATAAGTAAAGCATGATATATTAAAATGCTATAAAAACTTAAGTAAAATGCTATAAAATATTTTTTTAACATAATATTCAAAAAATATTTTATAGTTTTACATTATGTTAGATAGGCTGAGTAAAAGATAATTGTGAACTATTATTTAAAAAGAAGTCTCCTCTATTGAAGCATAAAAGATAATTGTGAACTATTATTTAAAAAGAAGTCTCCTCTATTGAAGCATATTGAACTATTATTTAAAAAGAAGTCTCCTCTATTGAAGCATATTGAACTATTATTTAAAAAGAAGTCTCTTCTTAAAACTAAAAAAATATAAAATTAGTCGTATCTATTGGAGCACATTTTAAATATAATTTTTACAAAAAAACTTACCTCTTGCTTTACAACATGCAATGGCTTAAATTCTTCAAGAGGTAACTGGTGTGGAAACATCTCATCAACAACTAAATGTGTACATGATTCTTCTTTTAATAGTGACAGGTATGTACCACCTAAAAAATGAAAAATTATCTTTAATAATGAATGGTGTTTTAAAAATAAAAAATTTTTAAAATTTTTAAAAATGAAAAATTTGTATAACCTTTAAAAATAAAAGTAACAAAAAGTATACTTTTTTGTACTTTTATTTTTAAAGGTTATACAAATTTTTTTTTATTTTTAAAAATTTTAAAAAATTTTTACTAGTACTATATAAAATATAGATATAGGATATATATATGTACAAGGTTAGAAATCCTTTTAAAAAAAATACCATTTTTTTAAATTAAAAATGAATTCCAATTAAAAATAAAAAAACAATTTTTGGTTGAGTAAAGACTACAGATAGTGTCTTGATAAAATTACTCATCTTAGGCTGATGTTAAATGCATCCTGCTATTGTCTTGAATAAAAGCCTTCTAAGTAAAGACTTAAGAGGTAAACTTTGACCGGTTTCGCACCCGTTTTTCATCTATTATGCTGGCGCAGATGTAATTACAATACATTGTTTCCAGTTAAGGATATTGAATGCTGGACCTTCTTGACTCAATGCATGGGTTTTAATTTGAGTTCAGCTGTCTCATCTTGTGATCTTAGAGCTAATGGTTATCTTCCTTTAATTCGTTAAAACCCCAATTCACCCATTTATCAGGAAATTAGGTTTAAATCCACAGACTATTCTTTTATGTGCTTTTTTTCAACACCACTTCACTCTATCATTTTTCTCTTTGTTCTATATCGCTCTCCTTCATCTCAAGACTTCACTTTTTTAAATGTTTTTTCTGATCAAATTGACCCTGCAGGGGTTAAGGCCCAAAATTATTGCCTTTCTCAATCTCAAACACAAACAGTCAACTTTCTGACTTTCGTTTCCAGCCAATCTAAATCATTTACCTTTCCAGCCAATCTAAATCATTTACCTTTTCTACTTAACTTGTGTCTTGTTTCTGATCCTAGTCAGTGCTCAGTTTCTTTACATTCACTAAGGGTAAATATGGAGGAACTGAGCACTGATCACAGTACTTCTGATCACAGTTTGATTTCTCTTAAACTATTATCTTATTTTCTTCATCATCAGAATTCCAAAATTATCATACTTCTTACAATTACCTTAAAGCTGAATGGGATTCTTTTACAGATTTTCTGTGATCTTCTGAAATCTTTTGTCTTCCTGCTGATAAATGTGCTTCATATGTAACTTCTTGTATTCAGGCTGGCATGAAATCTCTTTTTCCCACTTTAGGATTCTGAGCATAGCCTCACTCTCCTCCGTGGTTTTCCTCTCATTGTACTTCTGCAAATTCCAATCGTAACCATTCCATATCTATTGTCAAAATAATTATCTAGATAACACACACCAGTTTACTATTACTAAAAAAACATTGTAAAAAGGTTTTGCCTATTGCCAAAACCTGCTAATCTCAGGTCACAAAATCTTGTTTTTAATCTCAAAAGTTAGGCTTCAGATTGAGATTCCTGAAGAATCTTTAACAGTATCTATAAAAAGAGAAAATCTGTTGCTCCACCTAACTTGTATGGTTCAGGTTTTATCACCTCGCCTAAAGACAAAACTGAATTGTTTGCTAAGAATTTCTCATCAATGCATCATTTGATTCTACTAGTCACATTCTACTTGATATAGCTGAAAAACAGGTTGATCGATTGCTTGACGTATGTATCACTTCAGCTTCTGTATCTAAAGTTATTTCCTGCTTAAACTCTTCTACAGCTTGTAGTCGGGAAAAAGCTAAGGACAACATACCTGTTATAGTCTTGCAGAAGTGTGCTTCAGAGCTATAAACTTTCAAAACAATTTAACAACTGCTTATCAGAGTCTTTTTCAGCCTACTGGAAAACATTGTCTGTTATCCCGATTTCAAGAACTTTTGAGAGCGAATTGACTTGTCTAACTACCATTTCATTAGTTTTCTTACTATCATAAGCAGAGTTTTTGAGTCTTTAATTAACAAACACTAAATTATGAATCTTAAATTTAATAATTTACTTTCTGGTCATCAATATAGATTTTGGTCTTCTCGTTCTACTGCTGATTTGTTAACGGTAATAACCAATAGGTTTATTAGGCATTATTTAATTGGCATTAGATAGACGTGGAGAGGATATCAATCTTGATATTTCTTAAACTTTTGATAAAGTTTGGCATGCTGGTCTACTACATAAGCTTTTTTCTTACAGTGTATCAGGTAACATCATTAAAATTATTGAATCCTATCTTACCAATCTTAGTATAAAAGTTGCCTCAATGGACCATTCTTCTACATATCCTGCACTTAAAGGCATTCCTCAAGGTTCTATCCTTGGCCCTATACTCTTTTAAATTAAATTAACGATCTCCCAGAAATTTTTACATCAAAGATAGCATTGTTCGCTGATGATGTTACCATTTATTCTTGTCTTGATAAGAAGCCAACACTCTCTGATTGCTTGGAGGGGGAACTTGAGCTTGAAAAGAATCTCACTTCTGCTACAGCATGGAGCTCTCCATGGCTGGAAGTAAAGATGTTGAAAAAAAAATAATAATTTATCTATCATTTAATATCATTTAAAATTTGATAAAGACATAAATCACTTTAAGGTTGTTAGTGATTTTATTTATTTTTTTAATATTTTTCAAAATATTAAAATTTAAATCCAAGTAGACAAAACTTATTTGTCCAAATAGATCTGCATGGTCTTGGTCAATGGCCACTAGTGGATAGTGGCTACTGGATTCCAGACATCCTAAAAAAAGTCAATTTTTTAAAAGTAAAGACATTTTTGTATTTATTTTCAAGTTTGCTGGGTTTGGTGAATTCAATGCATACTTTTTTAATCCTTTATTTATTTATAACTTACAAACATTGTGATTGCAAAACATATATATTTTACATGAATGTAAAAAATATATCATAAAATATTTCATTAAGTGTTTCATTATCTTTTTCAAAAAATGATTTTGTACCTTTGAAAAAATGATTTTATACCTTTAATTTTGTTGTAAATAATATATATGAAAATAAAAATTTTCTATATCAAGCTTTCCCAGGAAAGGCATGCGTCTTGTATGACCATGCGATAGTATTTTATTTTAGACAACTTGATCACGGCCGTTTGCAAATTTTATAATATTATTCATGGCGGAAAAAGTTTTAAAAACAAAAAAAATAAAACTAACAAATTAGGAATTAAAAAGAAATTTAAATAGAAAAAATAAGAACAAATTAATAACTTAAATAATTTATGTACTGTTTTTATTTTTGTTTTTTTTAGAGTGGTTGTTACATTCGGCAACAAAATTAGATAAGGCGAAGTAAAAAAATTTTTATTTAACTTTTTTTAAAGAGGAAAGCAAAAAAATAAATTGCAATTTATTTGTAAAATGTATTTATATAATAACAAGAGTTAAATTAAGCGATCATGAAATGCAAAATCTGAAAAAATATCTGGTCTTCAAAATTTTAGTTTATACTAAAACATGTTCTTTGTTTTCAAGGGGCGAATCAACTTTAATTTGTTAGCAAAAAAGTTATAAAAAATAAAACAACAAACATACGAATACAAAAGTAATAACACTCTAGTGACTAATTCTAAAAGTTATAACACTATAACAGTGTTATTGCTTTTATAACGCACTTATAACTTTTATAATTTATTCTTTATTTAAATAAGATAAGTTCTTCCAAATTTTAATTGAAGTAGAAAAGCATCTAGAAAAAAATAATGGATATCCAAATAATATTCAAAACTTAAGTAACTTATAAAAACCTAAACATAACTTTATCAAAATGTAATGTATGAAAAGTTTAGCATTATTAAAAACGTTACTAATGATATATAAAAACACGCATTAATTTTAAATCAAACAATAAAAAATTTTTATTGGTTGATTTAAAAATTAAGCACGCCTTTATACGGAATATTAGTGACGTTTTTCATAATGCTTAACTTTTTATTAAGTGCGTTTTTATTGAAGTTGTTTAAGTGATTTGTAAAAATTCCTCAAGCTTTTTATATTTGAATATCCACCTTATTTTTTCTAGATGCTTTTCTACTTTAATTATTGTTTGGAATTACTATTGCTGTTTGAAGAAAGAATTAACTTTAAAAGTAATAAGTGCTTTATAAAAGTAATAACACTATTGTAGTTTTATTACTTTTATAATTTAGTGGCGAGAGTGTTATTACTTTTGTAGTCGTAAGTTTATTGTTTGTTTTGTTTTTATATTTTTCTCGCTAACAAAATTATAATAATTTGCTCCTTGAAAATAAAGTACACAGCTTTGCATAAACTAAAATTTTGAAGATCAGATATTTTTGCAGGGTTCGCAAATCGCAATCGCTTGATTCACTCCTTGATATATACTTGTTACATTAAAAATATAGAAACATATTTTACAAACAGATAACAATTTTTATTTTCACTTTCCCTGTTTAAAAAAAATATATATATAGGAAAATCATTCTTTTTAATGTTTAAAACTTTTTTTTTTGCTTTGACTTACTGAATTTTGTTGCCAAAAATAATCACCACTATGAAGAAACAAAAATAAAAACAGTACACAAATTATTTAAATTACAAATTATTTAAACTATTTAAGTTTTTTTTAAATTCATATTTTGTTGTTTTGTTATTTTGTTTTTAAAACTTTTGTCAACAACGCATATAAAAAAACTTGCAAACGACCATGATCAAGATGTTTAGAATAAAATACTCACCCGTGGTCGTACAAGACGAAAAACCGCACACCTGGAAAGGCTTGCTATATTGTTATTTTTAAATCTGATTAATTGGTAAAAGATGGCAATATATTAGGTGTCTGATTTTTAAAGTAGTACAAAATTTTGCATCTAAAAAAACCCTAAACCTAAGGTCAAAACAAATTTTCTCATATTGTATATACACTTTGCGGAGAAATTTTTAAGGAAATCAAGTTCAAACGTTTTTTATAACATCAGATTTTTTATTAAGTATAGATTATTACTTTATTTAGTATCATTATTAGGTGCAAATTATAGATGTTAAAATAAAACTGTTTTAAAAGTTTTATTTTATTTATTTTTAGAAACAAAATTAATTTTTGGACTCAGCAGATTTCAAACACTTTTGGTACTGAACTTCAGCATCACAAATACCTTAAAGAGGTAATCTTAAACAAATCTCCCCCCTCATTTTTTAGTCCAAATTGAAAAAACTTTAAGTTTGTAAATTATAAATGAATAGGAACTTTGTGAATTTTTTTGAATCTGAATCTTTCCTAACTTGTCTCTAAAAATTTGGCCATATTTCATTGAACTTATCTAGTTTAAATATTTTAATATTTTTGTGTTTTTAAAAATGTTTATTCTATATAAATGTAGAAATATATTTAGAAATTCCACAAGAAAATTATTTTGACAATAACAACTTTATCGTCAATATTTTATGTTTGACATTTGTTATACAAAGCTCAACTTTTTGATATTTGTTATATAACTTTTTGACTTCTATGTTGATAAAACATAAATTGTTAATATTGAAAATTTTACATTTCTCAGCTACCAGGGTATAACTTTTGATTAGAAATTTATAAAAAGGGTCAAAATCAAGTTTATATTGACATATAAACTTGATTTTGACTCTTTTCAATCAATCAATCATTGATTCTGAAAAATAATTTCATGGATATTTACAAATAATAATTTTACTAACCTCAAGTATACACCAAAAATACATATACAATTAATAATTATAAAATAGTAATGATAATAATAAAAAATAGTATTTGTAGTAATTAACATTAAAACTGCAATAATAATAAAACAACAAAAACAATAACAATAATGATAGTAATAATAATAAATAAAATTTATTTTTTGATGCTTAACTAAAAGATTAAAAATTTCCAAAAACTTACCATTACTTGTAGTGATTTCATGCATGTGTTTAGTTTCCTCTTCAGTGAAACCATAAAAACTTAAGGTTAAACCATGGAATGGCTTCATTAGATATTTTTTTATCTAAATAAATTTTTTGTTGTTATTTATATCCATATTAAGTTAAAACACAACATATTTCATTAGATATTTTTTTATCTAAATAAATTTTTTGTTGTTATTTATATCCATATTAAGTTAAAACACAACATATTTGGTTAATTAAATTAAATTTGATAATTAATTACATCAAAACACAATAGTTGTATAAAATATATATCAATAATATATGAATCGCTAACTTGAAAAAAGGGGCATGTCCTGCAAAAATTCACATAACATGTCCCCTTTTTCAAGTTAGCAATTCATATTATCTTTAAAATAAGTTACTTTTCATTATATTTTCTCTGCAAAAGTCTGTTTTAGAAAAAAAATATTTTTGCTTTGAGAAAAACGCATTTAAATTTTATTACTGCGCTTTCTATAAAAAAAGATTTAATTTTATCCCTGCTTTTTTGACTTTGTATTGACTTTGTATTGACTTTGTATTGACTTTGTATTGACTTTGTATTGACTTTGTATTGACTTTGTATTGACTTTGTATTGACTTTGTATTGACTTTGTATGAATTTTGTATTGACTTTGTACGAATTTTGTATTGACTTGTACGAATTTTGTATTGACTTTGTATTGACTTTGTATTGACTTTGTATTGACTTTGTATTGACTTTGTATGAATTTTGTATTGACTTTGTACGAATTTTGTATTGACTTGTACGAATTTTGTATTGACTTTGTATTGACTTTGTATTGACTTTGTATTGACTTTGTATTGACTTTGTATTGACTTAGTATTGACTTTGTATTGACTTAGTATTGACTTAGTATTGACTTTGTATTGACTTTGTATTGACTTTGTACGAATTTTGTATTGAATTTGTACGAATTTTGTATTGACTTTGTATTGACTTTGTATTGACTTTGTATTGACTTTGCATTGACTTTGTATTGACTTTGTATTGACTTTGTATTGACTTTGTATTGACTTTGTATTGACTTTGTATTGACTTTGTATTGACTTTGTATTGACTTTGTATTGACTTTGTATTGACTTTGTATTGACTTTGTATTGACTTTGTATTAAACCTTGTTGTTTTCAGTCTGTAGCAAATGCCATTATTTTTCATAATATAAAAAAAAATAATTAAAAATACTAATGTTTATAACAATAACTAAAAAACTTTGGCATATAAATTTGCTGAATAGTTTACACACAAGCATTTATTCTTAATTTCTCCCTCAAATATTCATCTGAGGGAAAAATTAAGTACATTAGAATAAAAGAGAATTATTTTTCGAACAAAGCATATTTTGACATTTGTCATGACAAAAATAAAGATTATTAGAAGAATATTTAAAAACAGATAATACACCCAAACAGTACTTAGAATAATAGAGAAAATCTTTTTTTTTAATTTTTTATGCGCATTTGTTAAATTTTGTAAAGATAAACGATTCAAAGTTATTTATTCTAAACGTAATTTAGATAATCTTATCATTATAGTTTATTCTAAACATAATTTAGATAATCTTATTGTTATAGTTTATTATCTTAGTTAAGTTTTAGTTAATTTATTTTAGTTTATATATATTAGTTTATTTTAGTTATTTTTAATTTTTTTTTTTGTTATTTTTTTTTACAAAGATTTATTTGCTTCTTTTTCGATAAATTTTTTTTAAGTTTCTTCATAGTTAAGTTTAGATGATTTTTCAGCGCAATTTTTATTTTTTCAATGTATACAAATTTTCAAAACATTAACAACTGTGGTTTTCAAAATCAAATAGTATTTGTGTGGCCATATTATGACATGAAATAGCATGCCTTTCTGGCTAAAACCAATATATATATTATATATATATATATATATATATATATATATATATATATATATATATATATATATATATATATATATATATTATATATGTTAAAAGTTATTGTTTTTAGTTTTTTATTCCCCAATTAACTCCAAAAAATAAATTTAAAAGGTCACAACTTTTAAATGGCATATTTTTTTGGAATGATATTTAAAATTTGTTGATAAATTTTGATTCTAATAAATATAAAAAGAATAAACGTTATAAGGGCGTTATGTTAGGAGCATGTTCTTAGAGTTTTAATATGATTGGGTCTGATCACTGGGACACAAATAAAAAGAAGATTTTATTTGTTGTGTTTTTTAGTGAAATTTATTATAACAAGTTAATAATAACTGTTTTATATTTAAAAGCTAACTTTTCACAATAAATTATAAATGGAATTTTTTAAATACTCTTCTGTATGTTTTACCAAAGCGAGTTTATAAAATGTTACATGTTTTACTTTTACAAACTACTACTTTAATTTGTATCACGTCAATTTAAATCTCAAAATCATTCTTTATTGCTAAAATATTTGAAATTGGTTAATAAAAAACCACTTTTAGTTTTAACGAGTTTTGATTTTTATGCATTATTGTAATCTGTGTTTTGTGGCGTTTGTAATATCGTTAGTTGTGCTTTGAAAATTTGAATATTAATTATTATTTCACCTTTGAAATAATAATTAATATTTAAATTTCCAAAAAATTCACATTCATCTAGCATCTAGATGAAGGTAAAAAAATAATAATTTCATAATTAAGTTTCTATTAAAACTAAATTACAATAATAATTCCAAAGTAATTACAAATTTTATATTGCAGATTTTTATTTAGACGATAGAGGAGCTGAACTGCGATGTTCCAAAACACTTAAACAAGAGTTTGAAAAACAAGGCAATTTAATTAAGGTTGCAACATGCAGAACTTCAATTTGTATACAAAGACCAAAAACTTCTTCCAAAGCATTGTTTACTGATTCACCGATACCTACAAATAAAGTGAACAAATTAAAAAATGTATGTAGTCTCAGTATCACACAAGGTGCTAAAGTTTTAAGTATTTTTAGAAGTTGGAAAGGTTGCAGATCATTTGAAAAAAATATAAGAAACAAACTGATTGAATATGATGCCATTTTAAATGAATAGTTAGACGTAAGTTCTGTTAAATTTGATGAGGGTGAAAAGGTGATGGTTTATTGCAAAGATATTCTAGGACTGGTGGAAAATGTTGTCAAAAAAGAAATATTTTAAGTGAGTTGGCATTGATGGAGAAGCTGGATTTTTGAAAATTTGTTTAAATATCTTAGATCGTTGCGAGGTATCTAAAGCAAAAGTAAAAAAATTTAGTTATGACAAAGGCGTATGTAAAGAAAAATACAAAGATGGTGGGCTTAACAAACTCATTATTATTGCACTTGTAGAAAATTTGCAAGAATCTTACGCAAATATAAAAATAGTAATCAATTTTATTAAATATTTTTGTGCTTTCGATATGAAGTTGGCCAATATTCTTTTTGGAATAGAAACTGCAGCCTTAACTCATCCTTGCCCTTGGTGTATAGCTAGTAAACATGATTTTCAAATTTTTGAATTTCAAGGTGAACATAGAATGCTTGGAAGGATTAGATCATCAGCTAATAATTACAAAAATTCTTGCAGAAATAAAGTTAAAAAATCAAAGTTATTTGCAGTGCCCTAACTGTGTAGCCAACCACATATCGATTTACCAGATGAAACAAAGGTTCTCAGTAGAAACACCAATCTTCTCAGTAGAAACACCAACAAATTTTTTACTTATCTTGATTGATATACAAAATCTAAAGAATTTTGTTTAAAAGCAGAGGAGTGGAATGAAAAACTGGGCTTTAAAAGACCAAGGCTTCATGGTGGGCAATTTAAATGAGGACAATGTTCAAAACTTCCTGATAATATATATTTTTTGAACGATTTGGTCAAGTTTTTTTCACTAGTTAATGATAAACATCTTTCTTTTATACTACAGGCATTTAAAAGCTTGAGAGAAGTTAAAGTTATTTGTTTAGCGATGACTTTAGAACCCGACTACGAAATAAAAGTAAAAGATTATCAAAAAGCCAACTATAAACTTGGATTAAGAGTATCACCTAAAGTACACGCTTTAGTAAAACATACAGTAGAATTTTTAAAAATGATGTCAGGTGAAACTTAGTTTTTTCTGCAACACATGTTATAACTAAACTTGCAAACAGCCGTGACCAAGTAGTCTAAAATAAAATACTCATGCGTGAACATACAAGACAAAAAACCGCACGAATTTCCTGGGAAGGCTTGTTTTAGACTACATAGCATAGCCTGTATATAATTATTAAACATAACATTCTGAATAATGTTCAAACTTCCTATGTTTAATTTAATAATTATTATTATCCTGGTATATTATTATTTGGTATATTATTATCCTGGTATATTATTATCCTGGTATATTATTATCCAGGTATCCTGGTATGGTACACAGTCATAATGGTTTAAAAGTATATATTTCTAATAAATAATAAAGTATTCAAATTTGTAAAAGAATTTTTGAAGATAAAAAAAAAACATTTGATATATAATCTGAACATAAGATCAAGTCTTGTTTGAGTCTAGATAAACATAATATTGAGTTTTGCCATTTTAAATTTTTTTTTTTGCTTATAAGATATTTGAATTTACTTACTTATATATATTGAATATACTTACTTTATCTTATAAGATATTTGAATTGTTAAAAAATGAACTATTTTAGGTATTGTGAGATGTATTGTGAGATGTTTTACACCTATAAAATATTATCAGCCAAAAATGGTTATAATATAGTTTTTTTTGCAGTGACAATATAACAAACATTCCGACAACTTTTTCTTTGATTTTTTTGAAATAAAACAACTTTATTATGTATTTGCAAGGAAAGTGGTATTTTTTAAAATTAGAAATCATAATTCCCTTTTTACCAATAAAAACATTTTTGACAACAGTTTTGCCATATAACTATTTTAAGGGTATTCCTATCCACTTCTAGTCATTGTTAACAAAAAAGTAAAATTGCAGACTATATTATTATATTGCTTTTATATTAAACTTTTAATTTTTTAAAAAGTTGGCCATCTATCTAAATTATGGAAAAAATTTAACAATGCTGCTTATGAGAATTAATGAAAGGTTTAAAATGGTTTAGAGCTGACTTCAAATTTAAAACATTGAAAGTTACCATTAATACTTACAAAACTTTCTTCTGTGGCTTTGAATGATCTATACAAAAAACAAAACATAAAAAAGGTTTTAAACTAATAAGAGCTAAAAAATACTTTTATTATAAAATGGTATTCTAATTAAAACATCATAATTTTTTATAATTATGGTGTTTTAATTAAATAATAACACATGTATTTTAAATATTAATGTATTTGACATTTAAAAGGTAATTTTTTAGGTTACAAAGATCTTTTTAGTATTTCAATTATTCTGCATTAAAAATAGATAAACTTTGGTTTAAAAGCGATAAAAATTCATTTGTTTCATTTACTTTTTGAAAAAGGTCACCCAATATAATCATTGATTACACGCTGGGTTCCATATATTGGTGAAACTATATTAACCAGGGTGGCAAAAGAACCAGAAATTTATAAAGATTTCAAAATTTACAGCTTTCTATAACATAATATTTATAATAGCCCTTTTTTTAAAAAAAAGCTTAAAAACTTTTAGTTAAAAAATGTTATTTTTTGAGTATAAATTAAAGAAATCAAATTTTATTTAAAAACATTTTTTTAAACACTATAAAATTCTGGTTCTTTTGAGACCCAGTTAATATACTTTTAGAGAAAAATAATATTAATATATGGACCCAACTTGTAACCACTCGGTCATACTGGTGACCTTTTTCAAAACATAAATTAAATCAATTACTTCTTTGTTACTTTCAAACCAAAGTTTATCTTTTTTTTTTTTAAGTGGAACTGGTTATCAAAACCCTGCTGTTACTCAGACAACTTAAAACAATAAAAAACAAAGATGTGAACAAAAAAGTGGTTGAGTGAAATAACAACTGCAGTTGTCAAAAAAACAAGAAAATCTAAAGAGAAATATGATTGAGTAAAATGGTAATTGAGTAAAAAGGTTAAACAATCACAGGATTTCAAACCTGATTTCATATTTTTAGACACTATATTAATGATTTAAATTATTTGAAAGAACTTTAAATGAATAGAAAATTAGAAAGAACATGACCCTTAAACAGATTGCACTTGGCACCCTTAGCAATAAGCTACACAGTTGCTTCATTCTAATAATTAACTTGAAGTTTTTACAAAGGGCTCTTTATTTGGCCTACACAAGGCACATTTTTTCAATATTTCAAGTAATATTTAGATTTTTTCAATATTTCAAGTAATATTTAGATTTTTTCAATATTTCAAGTAATATTTAGATTACCATTATTAGATTAAAATCGTAAAATTTTCTATTTATTTTAGATTTCAACTTGTTATTTAACAAAAAACTTACACATCATTTCTATTTTCCCATGAACTTAAAATCCAATCTTCAGTCATGATACTTCTTCCCAAATTAACAGCGGCCTGGATAAAAAATAAGAACAAATTTAAAAAAAAAAACAATAATAATTCGATGTATTGTAATTGCAAATTCCAACTATTATAAATATACATGCACAAATTGTATATGTATGTCTTGGTCAAAGTAAATTAGCAAAAAAGCCAAAAAATTGTTTAAAATGTACATGGTAGGCTAAGCAAGTACCTCAATAGAGTAACTTTTTGAGCATCTATCAACTTTTAAAGAAGCTAGCAGTTAAGAACAGTTGTTTTTTTATTGCTATTAACTTTTTAGAAATAACAAGTTTATTTAATGCGTTTTAAAAACAGTCGACTAGTTTAATTGGTCAAGACATAAACAATTGTATAAAAACACCTTTAGTAAGCATTATTTAAAAAAAAAAACAGAACTTTTTGTACAACGACAAAAACGGATGTTTTATAAACAAAAAAAAAACCTACAATAAATAACAAATATAAAAATAAATAATTTAAACAATAAATATACCTTGTATTTTTGACCCTGAGCTAAGTTTGCAATAACATGAGTAACTTTTCCGCTAAAATCTCTGCGAACACTTCCACCCATGTAATGAACAAGATCTGCAAGATGACTCACTGATTCCCGCTTTACAGCAAATCCAGTAAAACAAACAGCCACACCAAACATAGAGCCATTAAAAAGTGGTCTTGTTGTATTTGGTATGGATCTTTTTTTATTGTATAGATAAATAAGAAATGGTGGTCCGCAAATACGACACATTTGTTTTCTAAGGTATTTGAATTCATCACCCGAAAAAGAAGCACAAATAAAAAAATACTTTTGTTTATCTTCTGAAAGATTGATCAAAGATTCTTTTGAATCAGCTACAGTGTACTCGGGACTAAAATGCTATAAAATGTAATTGTTAAGAGGTAAAGATTGAACAGAACATATATAAAATAACGAAGAAAAAAAATGAACTTTATATGATTCTTTTTAAAAATCATTTACAAAATAATTGCAAGAAATTAAAGTCCAGCCATTTTGACACAATACTTTTTTAAATTAAAATTATGTTTCTCTTTTTTCTTTTTTTTTTTAATTCTATTCCAACTAAAATGAAAGTCTCCATACTAAAAAAATTTATATTTAAAAATAAGCTTTCCTAGAATCATCCAAAAACGTATCTGGCCTTATAGTTCATTTATTTGATTATCTTATGATTATCAAAGATAGTCTTGAAAAAAAAAAATAATGCCTTAGGTCTTAATAACAAATAACCCTGCTAAAAAAATCATGCTTCAAATACATAAAAAAGTTTTACATATTTTTAACTATTTACAATAAAATGCTTAGTGAGATAATAAAATTCAACATAATTATAAAATATTTATTCAAAATTATGAATTGTTTTATTTTTTTCTTCTGAATATGACTAACTATATAAAAAAATGTAAGAAAAATTTAGAAAAAACCTTTAAAATTTATTAAAAGACTTACAAAAGTATAAATCTATATATTTATACATATATATTTATAAATACATATATCAGGGGCTACTCTAGACTATTTTCGTCAGCGTTGAATGTGTTTGGGTGCCGAAATGGGCACCAAAACACATTCGAGGGTTGGTTTTTTACAACAAATATTACTTTTTTTGCAAAAAAATGCCAATATTTGTAATATTTCAGCTAAATTTTCTCAAGGACAAGGGTGTACTGCCGCCCAAATTTTTATTCTACAATAGCCTACATATATATATACTAGGGTCGAAATAAGTGTTGGGCATTGGAGCCCCTAGCATTGTATTTGAGGCATGTTTGAGGGGGGCAACCAATTATTATTCATTTTTACTGGTAAAACAAACAATTATTTTTTAACCTCTTCTAGCAGGTCTCAAGAATGGTTCGAGGAGCAGCAATGTCCAACACCTATTTCAATCCCTGTATATAAAATATATACAAATATACATATAAATACATATATATATATATATATATATATATATATATATATATATATATATATATATATATATATATATATATATATATATATATATATATATATATATATATATATATATACATACATATATATACAGATTAGGGTAATATGAGTACCTTTTTGATTAAAACTAATTATTAAATGTATACCAAGAAAAACAAATCTTGTTGTTTTAGTCGAAGCTTGTCTTCTCCATTTTCTGCGGTATTTGGAGTCTGTAAAATAAGCGCGATTTTCTAGGCGCATTATACAGACTTGATAACTAATTCAAGTGCATTTAATTCATAGAAGTTTTAGTACATGACATCATAGATTTTTATTTGTTTGTTTAAAACACCGATTTTTATTTTTTACATGCAATTACCAAATCATATTCATTTTTATTATATTTTAAAGTTCTAAAATATGTTTGTAAAAAATTAAAAACAAAATGGTATTTTATTTGCGCAAATTTTTTTAATCCAATATATATTATGGCGGGGGCTTAAAAATTAAAAAATTAATATATATTAATTTTTATTTTACGGACATACATGGAAACATATTAACTTGAATGTTCTTTAAACATCTTGCGAAAAAATAAAAAGAATATTCGCAAACACTAAAAACACGCCAAAATGACGAACAAACTAATTTTTTATTCTCTTAGTTCAAAAAAATAGGCTGATTAAGCGAAATAAAGTTCTAGAGTATTCTTTTGAAATGTTTTAGGAATTGTATTATTTACGATTTGTTGCGTTTTGAGACATCTAGCATAAATTTTTTTAAGAATATATTATCAAATGAACTATTACTTTAATATTATGGCTCATTCTCGGAGCCACATCTGCAAAGCCGTAAATCTTTTAAACTATTATCATTTGTTTACAAAAATAAATGTTTTATAATATATATTTTTTAAATTGTTAAAATTTTGAAAGTTATTTACAAATTATATATTTTATTAGTATATTTTATTAGTATCTTATTTTTTATATCTTTTCCTTGTGCTTGGTTATATTAATTGTTTGTTAGATTTGTCGAAACAACTTGCATCAAAATGTAAACACACTCGTGAATCATCGAAGATGTTATATAACTCGATTTGGCGCCATAGGGGTCCCTAGGTCCACCATCGCCATGGCCCATGTAGCCACGGCTCTAATTGCTACAAAAAAACATAAAGTTTTTTTCAATGTGAAGATTTTAGAAAATAAAATAACTAACTATACACTGTGCACCAGAGAGACTGCCAGGTTTTATGTCGTGGCACTCAAATGAAACCTTTTTTATTCAAGAGTATTTGTATTATAACAATAAAAAAAATGATTTTTAAAATCCAAATAAATTGCTAAGGGTCATAAATGGGGCAAAAGGGTAAATACAAGGGGGGCACAAGCCCATTTAGGTATGCTAGTTGCAAGTTACAAAAAAAAAGTTTTTAATTCAAAAGTATTTGTTTAATAAAAATAGAAAAAACTTTTTTTTTTAAAAAAAAAAAAAAAGTCAAGGGTCATAAATGAGGCAACGGGTAAAATGGAGGGGCCCTATGCCCATTTAAACATTTGAGATGCCCGTTACAATAATTTTTAAAAATAAATGTCAAATATTTTAAACAAAGTATAAACAAACAAAAAAAAATCAAAATATTTACAATATTTATCAAAATATTGCACATAATTCAACAAAATACGAACAATTCTTCTTCCTGCTCCAGAGCAATATGTCAAAGATACAGATAAATTTAACTCTTCTTTGATTAAAAATAACTATTGAGTCGATCTACATATTAAGTGTTTTTATCTACACATTCAAAACTATTTCTTGTATACTCAAACTTGAAACAAACTATCTGCATTGCTCAGAAAACTGTACATTTATAACATAATCATACATGTATGTATGTATACTAGGTTGGTTGAAAAGTTCGCGGAGCGGAAATGAAAAAACAATTTTATGATTCAAAAAATGACTTTATTCTTCAGTATATTCTCCCTTAAGAGCAATACACTTTTTCCAACGATTCTCCAATTCATGTATCCCATCTCTGAAGTGCGATTCCGGAAGGCCTTCAAAATACCCATTTACGGCTGCAATGACTTCTTCATGTGATGAGAAACACTTTCCACGTAGAAATTTTTTGAGATGTGGAAAGAGGTGGAAGTCGGACGGAGCCAGATCTGGTGAATAGGGTGGATGTTCCAAGCGTTCGTACTTTAATTCGACCAATTTCGCCTTTGCAACATCGCTGATATGAGCAGGTGCGTTGTCCTGGTGATAAATGATTTTTTTATGCAGCAAACCAGGTCTTTTCTCACGAATTTTTTTATCCAACTGGTCCAAAAGATTTTTATAATATTCACCTGTTATCGTTTTACCGGTTTGAAGGTAATCTATTAATAAAATTCCTTTCGCATCCCAAAAAACTGATGCCATAACCTTCTTTGACGATTTTGACGCCTTCACTTGCTTCGGAGCTGAACAACCGGGTTCTGTCCACTCTGCAGTTTGTTGTCGCAGCTTCGGATCATAGTGGTAAACCCAAGTCTCATCCATGGTTACGAATCGACGCACAAAATCTGTTTTATTCTTTTGAAAACGGGCCAAATGTTCTTGAGAAAGTTTTACTCGAGTGCGTTTCTGATCCAGAGTTAGCGAATGCGGCACCCATCTTGCCAACAGCTTTCTCAGACGTAATTCATCATGCAAGATGTGTAATACCCGTTCATCTGAGATGCCCACAGCCTCAGCAATTTCACGTTTGGTCAATCGTCTATCATCCATAACCATGTCATGCACAGCATTAGTCGTTTCTTCAGTAGTAGCACTTTTTGGACGTCCAGAGCGAGGGTCATCTTCAAGGCTTGAATGCCCACGTTGAAACTCCGCAGCCCATTTGCATACTGTTGTTTTTGAAGGAGCATCATCACCCAACACATTTACCATTTCATTATGAATTTCCATGGGCTTTAAACCTTTTTTCACAAAGAATTTTATTACAGCACGATGTTCAATATTTTCCATTTTAAAAAATACTATGACACGTCTAATTTCAATAGCTTGTAAACAAAGACTGAAATGACATATCGACTTGAAATTTTTTATGCGTTCATACGAAGAATGAATACGTTTAATACAGTTATAAATTTGTTTCTACTACTGCAACATAGGTGCCGCTCCGCGAACTTTTCAACCAACCTAGTATATATATATATATATATATATATATATATATATATATATATATATATATATATATATATATATATATATATATATATCATACATACATACATATAAACATATATATATATATATATATATATATATATATATATATATATCATACATACATACATATAAACATATATATATATATATATATATATATATATATATATATATATATATATATATATATATATATATATATATATATATATATATATATATATATATATATATATATATATATATATATATATATATATATATATATATATACACACAATATAAATATACATATATACATATAACTATATAAATAAATTTATAAACAAAATCAAATTCTTTTTGCTCCAAAATCAACTACTGCTGATAATAGCCTGTCACCATGTTCGGAATGCTCTATTTGTCTCTTAAACCTTGTCCATGTTGGCTTAAACTTTGCATGAATACTTTCTCCACATTGTTCAGCAAAGTTACCCAATCCTTTGTTATGGTGTTCCACATATGGCTGTACATGACACAGTAGAATGTGGACTTTCCATGTTGTATTTATTTGTTTATTTAAATTTACTGCAACTTCTTGTGCGGAAAGACATGAATTCTTTAAATTTGTTATTGCTTCTTTGAAGCCAGTTTGTAGATTGCTGGAAAAGCAACAATTTTTTACATTTCTAAAATCTCTCAAACACTGTACAATTGGAATCAAACAAGTAAATGTTTCTAAAATTTGTGTTTCAAGAGAATCCAGATTTTCTAATATATTTAATAATATAATATTTTCTAATATATTTTATTCAAGTTGTTTCCGTCCCAGCCTCTGCCTTGGTACCCTCGCTGAATAACATTTTTTGACTTTAGCCAATCATCAAATCCTGGCCAGACATCTAACAAAAAATTTCCAAGCAGTGAAACAAAACCAATTAACAAATGAAGTTCAGGTGGAGGAATGAGTTGCTCAATTAAATTATTTGGATCTAAACTAATATATAAAATTCGAGGATTGATGCAGTTCATAAACTCTTGCATGGATGATTTTACTGAGTTATTTTCTAAATATTTATTGTACCAATAATCAATACTGCCAAGAGTTCGTTTTGTCTCTAAATTTAATGTAGATATTCCTTCACACCATAAACAAGCTTTTTTTCCAGAATGTCCTGATAAACCAAACAGTGCATTTCCACATTTCAAGTCAAAAGCAACATAAAAACTGACATCTTGCAAATTTAATTTTTCTATAACAAGTCTCAAATTATAGTTAGATTCAGGAATATCTTCAACAATAGCTAAAAATTGAGACCGTTGAACGCCACTATTTAAGTACTCGTCTGACTCATTATCTTTTTGACAATCAAAGACATTGATGATTACTTTAAAAAATAAACCTCCACCATCCAATGAAATTCTTATAAAGGCTGAAGTTGGGTCTAAACCACGCAATTTTAATAAGTCAAGTACAAAATTTAATGTATTTTGAACATATACAAGATCTCGTAAAATTAAATGGCCTTTGCTATCAATAAACTTGCACTTCTGCACACTGTAGTAATTAGATATATATTCTTCTAATTCAGAAAGACGACCAAAAATATTAAGCTCAATGGAAAGCTTATTTCCTAAACCTTTGCGTAAAGTAGAAAGCATCTCTTTTGTTTTTCTATTTGAAAGTTCTAACACAATTTGTAATTGCTTTATTATTTCGATAGAAAGCTGCTTAATAGAAGTTCTTTTTGATTTGTTTTCTGGTGTACCAACTGTGACTTTTAGCGGATTTCCTCCTGTAGATAAACAAAATGTTGATCTGTCAACCAAACTTTCTGCAGCCATTTTACTTTTTATAATTCCAGAAGCAACCTACGTAAAGTTTTCACAAAATGAAATTTGCATAAAAAACTAAAAACTTATAAACAAAATATAGTTTTTTTTACCGGTTCAGCTTGAAGAGAACCTAGAAGAAATGACAGTGTAATGGTATTTGCCACAGCACTGGTGGGTGTACAGTTATGAGAATAACCAGGTGCAGGCAATGAATAGCAAAAAGAACATATACTTGACTTAGTTGTCGGAAAATTAGTAATCTCATCTGGAAGAGTTAGACTGGTTCTGGGGCTATTTCTCAAAAGGGTTTTCCACTCTACCTAAATAAATATACATTTATAAATAAACTAAAGAAAAAAAAGAAAAAAAAAAGGAAAAAATCATTAAAATTACCTTGGTAACCTTAGCTACCCATTCACCACGAGGTGAGTCTCCCTTTTTGAGTCTGTAAAGATTTCTTCGGCAACCAGGACAAACAACTGATGGATAGCAATCGTTGTTCATCGAATATCCAGGAAAGATAAACATTTTAATTTGTTATTCTAAGTTTTTATTAATTTTTTTCAATGATTTTGATCTTTCGTCATATTTTTCCCAGCAACAGCAACAAGTAGAATTCATTTTTAAGTGAAAGAAATACAACTCCTAAATAGCACGACCTTCCGCAATTTAAAAATTTTTATACTATCATCTTTTTAATCTCTAAATTTTTTTTGATTAGTTAGTACAGGGGGTAATTAAATTTATAAGCCCATCTAATATGAGGTTACAGTATA